CATCCCGACCGTTACGTAGTCTCACTCGAAGTATCCCACCTTGATTCTCGATTTGACCTAAAGCCCACAACGAACGAGCGGGTCCGAATATTGAGATGTATGAAGATTCGATTGGGGTAAACCTTAAAGGGATGAGAACTCAACTTCTATAAATGGAAGGGGGAGCCAAACCCTAGAGGTAAGCCAAAACACCCTACTCTCTACATTCTAACTCCATTATCCATCTACTCTCCTTGCTAACTTAGGCATCGGAGCCCATGTGACTTGAGTCACACCGGTTTAGGTTTGATTGGGTTTGCAGGTTCTCTGTTCCCTGATTATCAAGTTTGGTGTGAATCTGGGAAGGAACCGGGAGAGCATAATTCACGCATCAACAGCTGCTCTAACATGGTTTAAAGACATTTACTTTGCTCCACTGTGATAGTCTCTGAATCCACAATTATCAAATTTTATGATTTTGGTTTTTTGTACTAATATCTGTTTCCTAAATTAACTTATTTTATGTATCTACAAATGATTAGTTAGTCACTCATCAACTCCACTTCGTACAAGTCATCCAACATATATCATCGCAGAGTGTATTAAGAAATTAGATGAATAGGATGGAGTCGAAGAAGACAATCACTTTACTTCTCTAACACAGTTTAAAGACGCTTACTTTATTGCTATGGGATAGTCTCTAATTACACAGTTACCAATTTTATGGTTTCTTATACTAATATTTGTTTCCTAATTTAACCTTTTATGCATCTACAGATAAGTAGTCACCCATTAAGTCCACCTCCTACAGGCCATCTAACATATACTATCGCAGAGTGTATTACGAAATTAGATGAACATGATAGAGTCGAAGAATACATTTAATTTGCTGCTCTAACACGGTTTAAAAACGTTTAATTTGCTGCTATGTGATAGTCTTTGATTCCACAGTGACCAATTTTATGGTTTTGGTTTCTTCTACAAATGAGTAGTGATATAGAAACGAGTGATCACGGAGTGCACGGGGAAAGCCTACAAGAGGAGGAAGCTCAAATTAGCTCAAATGAAGCTTATGCTCAAAGTCAACCCAATCATGAGCCAATCATTATGCCACAAGGTCCAATCACAAGAGCTAGAACTAAAAGACTACAAAAATGGTTGAATGGTCACTTCAAAGCTAAGGTGTTCACACTTGGTGAAGAGTTGCATCCTTTCAAGCTTGAAAAGACATCTTGTCATCCAAGAAACTTCATGAATCTAAAAATCCAGATTCATCCACATATTTACTTTATTATGTATTTTTCAATGGTTGTGTCTTTTCATCCAATGGTTGTGTCTTTTCAATTACTATAAATAGGGATGTACATTTGCTTTTGAAAGACAACATTTGATGAATGAAATTTCATATTGAGTTTAGTCTCTCAAGCTTTAAACTTTCTTTGTATTATTGTGTTTAGAATGCATGTTTAGAACTTTCAATCTAGTTTGATCAATTAGGTTGTGGAGAGTTCGAAATCTTGAAGATAAGAACAAGTTCTCTTT